ACTGGGGGATGCAGCGCTTGACCTGAGTGTCTCTTGGGTCAAAAATGCAGGCCACGCTTCCCCGTGGCTCAGGCTATTCCAGCCTCCCTACCCACACCCCAGGCCCCTACATACAGCCTGAGAACTTGCACAAAAAAGCCAATTTTAGGAAACGAAATCCTGTTTTATACATGGCCTTATGAATTGCAGGGCTCCCATGGCGGTGCTGGGTGTACACACAAAGATCCTGTCCATTCAGCAGAACCTCCCCAGGGATTCCCTGGGCCCCAGCCAAGTGACAGCCGCATCTGTGAATGGGGAGAAAGAAGCGCCCTCCCTGCGTGTTTGCACAGTGCAGAACCCGGGGCCAGGCACCGATCACTTCTGCAATGTGGACTTGGTCAGGGCCCCTGCTCTGAATGACAGCAGGAGTGGATCGAACGGCAAGGGGACTGGCACTGGGCCGAACACTTCACATCCAGGTGGGTTGAAAACAGTCCCCAGAGTGCAGGTAGCATTTCTAGTCCTGGTTGGAAGGCTGAGGGAGGAAAGCAAGAGCTTGCACCAGGTTTGGGGGCTCCGCTGCTCTCTATCCCTACTCGAGGGTTCCCTAATCACCCACCCAGCCCAGAACTTCTTCAAAGAGCTCCGGGTTGGTCCCCAGCTGTGTGTGGCCTTGGGTGAGTGGCTTTGTCTCTCCCTCTTCCATCCCTGTAACTTGTTTTGTCCCCAGCTCTGAATGGAGCATCTGACCCTTCCCTGACCCCTACCCCCCCCAATCAATGGAGGACTCTCAGCAGATGGGCAGGGGATAGGGGCTTGGCCTCAGCCTCATTCCCGCAGGCTAAGGTGGCTTCAACATTACAGCCATTCCGATCCAGCAGCACAGCCAGCTGGCCAGGCCCCAAAGCTCTTGTTCTCATGTTTCCGTGAAACCATGTCACTTGAGGGGCTGCGTATTCCCACAAACAAAATACGTGCACGTCCATCCCTTATCTGGTTTGGGACTTGCCTGAACTGATGCTACACCCCATATTACAGACAAGGAGGCTCCGAAAGGGAAAGTCCTTTGCCTGTGGTCACAGAGCAAAGCAACAGCAGAGACAGCTCAGAACCTGACTGATGGCTCAGAGGCCAGGACTCAAGGCACTGAGCTGCCCCTCCTCTCTGAGAGCTGCGTCCTGGGGATGGGCAGGAATGATGATTGTGAGGTTAGAAGCCTGAGAGGAGAAGGAGGGGCCAGAGCCCACATGCCTTGCCACTTCTAGGCTCAGCAAATCACTGTCAGTGCCCTGAGCTTTAGTTTCCATCTGTAAAATGGGGATCGTGATTCAGGCTCTGGCCACGTCACTAGGCACCCCCAGGAGGATGTAAGGAATTCAGGAACAAGAAGCAATGGGTAAAGGGCACAGGGCAGCCTGGGTGGACTGGCGCCTGGCAAAGCCTGATGGCAAGAATGGGGAGAGGCACACCCTTTACCCACCCCCACCACAGCTTGGCCCAGGGCCATCATCCCCACTTACTCAATGGTCCAAGCCTGTTTTCCTCCAACCTGCCAGGCCATTCCTGGCAGAATCCACCTGATCAATACTCCCTGCAGTTGCGGGCACGCTTAAGATTAAAACCTGAACTTCCCTGGATTCGTTTTCTATCACTGCTACAACAAATTATCAGACTAGGTGGCTTAAAACAACAGAAATTTGTGATCTTACAGTTCTATAGGTTAAAAGGTCAATGTGGGGCTGGGCGCAGTGGCTAATGCCTGTAATCCCAGCACTTTGGGAGGCCGAGGTGGGCAGATCACTTGAGGTCAGGAGTTCGAGACCAGCCTGGCCAACATGGTGAAACCCTCTCTCTACTAAAAATACAAAAATTAGCCAGGCATGGTGGTGGGCTCCTGTTATCCAGGAGGCTGAGGCAGGAGAATCGCTTGAACCCCCCCAGGAGGTGGAGGTTGCAGTGAGCCAAGGTTGCGCCACTGTACTCCACCCTGGGCGATAGAGCAAGACTCTGTCTCGGAAAAAAAAAAAAGGCCAACATGAGTCTCACTGAGCTAAGATCAAGGTGAGGAGGTGAGGGCAGGGCTGTGTTCCTTCTGGAGCCTCTAGGGTAGATAGGGTAGAATCTGTTTCCTTGTCTTTTCCAGCTTCTGAAGGAGTTCCTTGGTTTGGGGCCTCTGCCTCCATCTTCAAAGGCAGCAGCATAGCATTTCTCTGGCTCTTCGGTCATCATATCTCTTTTTTTTTTTTTTGAGACGGAGTCTTGCTGTGTCACCCCAGCTAAGTGCAATGGTGCGATTTCGGCTCACTGCAACCTGTGTCTCCCAGGTTCAAGCGATTTTCCTGTCTCAGTCCCCCCAAGTAGCTGGGACTACAGACACGTGTCACCATACCCGGCTAATTTTTTGTATTTTTAGTAGAGATGGGGTTTCACCGTGTTAGCCAGGATGGTCTCGATATCCTCACCTCTTGATCCGCCCGTCTCGGCCTCCCAAAGTGCTGGGATTACAGGCATGAGCCACCGCGCCCGGCCCATCACATCTCTTTCTCTGTCTCCTGCTTCTACTTTTAAAAACCCTTGTTATGACACTGGCCCACCCAGATACCTCAGCATAAGCTCTCTGTTTTAAAGTCAACTGATTTGCAACCATAATTTCATTGGTAATTTTCTTTTTTTTTTTTTTTTTGAGACAGAGTCTCACTCTGTCGCCCAGGCTGGAGTGCAGTGGATCGATCTGGGCTCACTACAAGCTCCGCCTTCTGGGTTCACGCCATTCTCCTGCCTCAGCCTGCTGAGTAGCTGGGACGACAGGCGCCCGCCACCACACCCAGCTAATTTTTTGTATTTTTAGCAGAGATAGGGTTTCACCATATTAGCCAGGATGGTCTCGATCTCCTGACCTCATGATCTGCCCACCTCGGCCTCCCAAAGTGCTGGGATTACAAGTGTGAGCCACTGCGCCCGGCCCTCATTGGCAATTTTCATTTCCATTTCCCATGTAACAAAACATATTCACAGATTCCACAGGTTCAGATACGGGCTTTTTTTTTTTTTGAGATGGGGTTTTGCTCTGTTGCCCAGGCTGGAGTGCAGTGGCATGATCACAGCTCACTGCAGCCTTAACCTCCAAGTTCAAGCAATTCTCCCACCTAAGCCTCCAGAGTACCTGGGACTACAGGCTTGAGCCACCATGTCCAGCTACTTTATTTTTTGTAGAAACAGGGTCTCACTATGTTGCCCAGGCTGGTGTCAAACTCCTGGACTCGAGCGATCCTCCCACCTTAGCCTTCCAAAGTGCTGGGATTATAGGCATGAGCCACAGCACCTGGCCAGATGTGAACATATTTAGGGGGGCTGTTATTTTGCCTACCACGATTCCCTTCTTCCCATCCAGACCTCCCAGCTTGTCTGGCATCTTCCCCCACCACCAGCATCCTGCCTTCCTCCCTGAGGTCTTCCTGGCCCTGCCTCCCTAAAAGCCCTTCCCACAGTGACAGCATAGAAGCCAACCATTCTGGTCACACTGAGCTGGCATAGCTGTCATCCTCTAGAAAGTGAGGTCTGTCCACCCCATCACTACCCACCACTTCCTCCACCCCACTCTTCTTAGCACTTACCCATCTGGAAGGGTATCATGATGTACCTGGGAACTTGGATTTCCCCATTTCCCTTCTCTGGGCTGCAGGTCCCAATCCAGAGGCTGAATCCCCAGGGACAAAAACAGCGCTGGGCACTTGGTAGATACTCAGTAAATTTCTCTTGAGTCACTGAGCGGTGCAGTTGCCTTCAGTCTGTCTCCAGCACCCTGTGGGGTGCCTGCCCTTCAAAACATGTTTCTGGGCCAGGCGCGGTGGCTCACGCCTGTAATCGCAGCACTTCGGGAGGCCAAAGTGGGCAGATCACCTGAGGTCAGGAGTTCGAGACCAGCCTGGACAACATATAGAAACCCCGTCTCTACTAAGAATACAAAAATTAGCCGAGTGTGGTGGCACATGCCTGTAATCCCAGCTACTCAGGAAGCTGAGGCAGGAGAATCTCTTGAACCCAGGAAACAGAGGTTGCGGTGAGCCTCACGCCATCGCACTCCAGCCTGGGCAACAAGAGCGAAACTCTGTCTCAAAAAAAAAAGTTTCTGGCCCTGTAAGAATGACTGACTGACTTAATGAACGAATGGACCAGGAACTAGTCTGAGTATGAGCCCCACTCTGGAAGCCTGACAGCAAAGACGGGGGTCCAGGCCACGCGGCCTCTGCCTTCCCATATTCTCTTTTCTCGTGGAAGGTAAACTCATCAACTCGCTTGTAAGTTTGAGTATTCTTTTTTTTTTTTTTTTTTTTTGAGACTAGTCTCGCTCTGTCGCCCAGTGCTGGAGTGCAGTGGCCAGATCTCAGTCTCACTGCAGCTCTGCCTCGGGTTACGCCATTCTCCGCTGCCTCAGCTCCCGTGGTAGCTGGCACCTACAGGCCGCCCGCCACCCGCCCGGACGACTGAGTTTTTTGTATTTTTTAGTAGAGACGGGGTTTCACCGGGTTAGCCAGGATGGTCTCGATCTCCTGACCTCGTGATCCGCCCGTCTCAGCCTCCCAAAGTGCTGGGATTACAGGCTTGAACCACCGCGCCCGGCCAAGTTTGTAGTATTCTAACGTAGGCGCTTCCAAGGCCTCATTCATTCCCAGGAAGTCACTGAATATACTTGTGCCGGCGCCTCCCCGATCCAGCCCTGCAGGGAAGGATCCTGTCCAAGGTCTCTCTGCGATTTCTGAAGAATTCGGTCTTCCGGGAGCCTGTCTCTCGGCCTTTCTAAAACCGAGGGTTTTAGTTCCCATGGGCACAGCCGGAGTCCCGGGAGGCCACCCTGCGCCATACGGATCTCAGACGCCCGAACCAGGACAGGACCTCAGGGCGCGCGCGACCGCTGGACCCGGGAGCTGCACCTCCCACACCCGGAGCCCCGGGCGGTGCCCGGAGTGGGGCGGGGCCTGGGCGGGGATGGGGAGGGGCTTGGCTGGCGCGGCCCAGGCATTGGCTCCGCGGGCCGGGGCGGGGCTGCGGGGTCCGCGGTGGGCTCTGTAAGTTCACCGCCGGTCGGGTTCCACAGCCGCGCTGTCCAGCTCCTGAGACCTTGCTGTCCGCCGGTCCGCCGTCTGCTTGCCTCACGGTGAGTTCAGGCTGGGATTTTCGCAACTCCGCGGCCCCCCCGCCCCCGAGAGGCCCATCTCTGTGGCGCCCCGCCCCAGCTCGCGCCCTGGCCCTGCCTCTCACCTCGCTCAGGTCCTTTCGAGGGCGCCTAGGGCTCCATGGGTTTCCCGCCTGCATGTGGGTGCCCGCAGTCTCGCCCGTGCCCGCCACGGTCCGTGGGGCGCCGCGCATCCCGACCCCGAATTCCCCGTTCTGCCCTCCATTCTGTACCCGGGCCCCCGCCCCCCTCCCGAGACCCAGGGGTGCCCCGCCGCCCAGCGTCCCCACCGGGGCTGGGGGCCATATTTTTAGCCGATGGTGAGGTGTCTTCCTATCTTTAGCTGCGGCCGCGAGTGTCCTGAAACGGATCCGTGCTGGGCTGGGCTGCGCCCGGGTAGGAACGGGGTGGGGTCGGCGCCGGAACCCGAGCCGGAGCTAAGGAGCCGGACCCGTGGGAGGAGCGGGGGCCCGCACGCCCGAGCTCTGGCCCTGCGCCAAGCGGACACTAGGACATCGCCCAGGCCGGAAAGCACGGGGGCGGTTCCTCCCAGAGCTTAGAGACTAGGGCAGGGTCCCCAATCGCCTCCTTTTTCTCCGATTGTGGGACCAGAAACCCCGAAGCAAAAAGATCTCTCAGGCAATCCCCGTCTGGTACTTGAACGCGCAGCTCCTTGGGGAGCGCCTGCCTGGAGCCCGGGGGAAGGGGCGTTGGAGACCCCGGTGCGCTCTCGGAATCCTCCGGGACACGGAGCGCTCAAGGGAGCACGCGCGCCACCTGGCGGCCGCGGAGCCGAGCGCCTCTCCAGAGGCACGGGGACCCCGGGAGACCCCGCGGCCGGCTAGAGGGACTCTGCATCCGCGAGGTCTAGGAGGGCGGGAGGAGGTGGATGCCTGGGGCCAGCAGCCGTTCGTTTTTGATATTGTTCAAAGCACTGGCCCCGGAGAACCGAAGTGCTTGAGGAAGGAAGGTCTTGTAGATATTTGCTGAATGAATGATAGAACCTACAGTAACCCGCTGAACCCCGCTGCTGTACACTGGCGCTCTCATTTGCAATATTGCAGTGGGATCTCCAGTAGCCCTCTAGTGGTGGCTTCATTGTCAGCCCATTTTATAGATGGGAAAGGTGAGACCCAGAGAGGAGAGGCGTCTTCCTGAAGGTTACAGAGGAAGTCCCAGGTGGAGCCGGATTTAAGGACAGTCTCCTGATTTGGGGGGGAGGGGGGTGTGAGGTGGCCTAATATTCCTCATGATTGGAGGATCCCTGCCTGCCGGAAGTCATTTTCTCGTTGGGAGGTCCAGGGCTCCTGTCCAGGGCAATCACAGAGAGCTAGGATGCTCCTATCTGCTCCCCGACTGCTTCAGGGAGCTCCCCTCCCAGTCCGCATAGCCCTGTCCTGATGGAGAGCTCATTCTCATATCTCTAGACACATGAAAGTTGGGCAGATGGGGGCAGCCCAAAGGTCAGAATGTAGATGGAGGAGGTCTGGGGACCCACTGTTCCCAGCCTAGCTGTTTCTCTCCCGCTCCCCAACCATATTATGGAGGTAGGCGTGGCCCACTGCATGGAAGCCACACGGACCAGGCTGGGTACCCACTCTTCCACTTCCTAACTGGATGACCTCGCCAATGTTACTTAACATCTCTGAGGTTCAGCTTTGACTTCTGTAAAGGGCGGTAATAACCCCACCATGCTGTGGCTAGAAGTATTAAAATGGGAAACTGTGCGTGACAGGCTGGATCCTAGGGTCTTGCGGTTGCCAAATCTGAATTCTTCTGGTGTGAGGGTTGTAATTCCCAGCTCTCCCCTGGGCCGCTGATGCTGGCCTCACCCTCAATTCTCCTCACATCTGGAATTGGGTGTGTACATCTGGCTGTGAGTGAGACAGCTGTCAGGGATGCCCAATTTGTTGTGGAAACACTCAGGCTGTCTTGGCACTGCTGTGTGATGGGGTTGGGGGTGTGGGGAGGACCTGGCCCAGGCTCTGGGCACATCCCACCAGTCAGCCCCACCAGGACTTCTCTCCTAATGAGCGACAAGTTGCATGTTTGTCAGCATGGCCCCCAGGCCTGGCATGGTTGACACAGGATGAATGCGTGACGGGATTCCAAGACCTCGGGGTGCTCATGCGTCCCCACCCTCCCCCCAGCTCCTTGCAAGCTGAGCTGGATTTCTACCATGGGAAAGTTATTCGTTTGTTTCCTGTTAAGCTCCAGGTGCTCTGGGAGGGGCAAGATGTCCGGCCTCTGTGGCTCAGTACGACTGACCCGGGTGTCCGGTCCTGGGGTGGGGTTTCCTGAGCAAGGGCCTCAGCTGGTGGTGGGAGTGCAGTTGGACTCTGCTTCTCCTGCATCCTCCTTCCTCCTTCCTGCTCCCTCCTCCCAACCCCCTCACCCCCACCCTCACCCTGTCCAGAATGAAAACTGAGGCAAAGAACTGGCAAGAGCCACCTTTGGTGAGCCCTGGCTGGGGCTGGGGGTGGGGTGTACAGGAGGGTGGGCTCATCTAGCTTGAATTCCCACCCTGCCCTTACTCACTGGGTGACCTTGGACAAGTTTCTCTCTTTGCCTTTTATGCTGAGTCTACATCTGGGCTTGTGTGTATCGGACCAATCAGGTCCCACATGCATCCCCCACCCTCAAGCAGAGGGACTGCTGGCTTCATTTCTTTTTTCTGTTAAATCAGTATGACACCCCTTCATAGCTATTTATTTTTCTACATTAAAAATAGCTTAATTTTTTCTGACTACATAAATATTATGTGCATATAAATAATACATTGCTTATTAGTAAGAATTTGAATTCATAGAGGTCTGGACAAGAAAGGAAACGTCAACCTGAAATTCTACCACTTTGAGATAACCATTGTTAACATCTGGATGACCATCTTTTCATATTTATATATATTACACACATTGATCATGTCATAGTCATGGGACCAAAATATTACAGGTTATTTTTATTGATGACTCCTTTCCTCCCATATCAGTGACCCCACACCCCATCCCTGCTGTGTACCCTAGTCAAGGTAGCCCATATGGCAACATAGGGCTGGCCTTCTAGATTTTTCTCTGTTTTTTTTTTGTTGTCGTTGTTTTTTGTTTTGAGGCAGTGTCTCACTGTCACCCAGGCTGGAGTGCAGTGGCGTGATCTTGGTGCACTGCAACCTCTGCCTCCTGGATTCAACCAATTATTCTGCCTCAGCCTCCTGAGTAGCTGGGATTACAGACGTGTGCCACCACACCTGGCTAATTTTCATATTTTTAGTAGACACGGGGTCTCCCTATGTTGGCCAGGCTGGTCTCGAACTCCTGATCTCAGATGATCTGCCCGCCTCGGCCTCCCAAAGTACTGGTACTACAGATATGAGCCACCGCACCCAGCCTCTTTATATATATATATATATATATATATAGGATAGAATTCTACACAGACCTGTACACATGCAGGTGCATAACATGCATATGTATCAGAGCGGGGAGGCAGGCAGTCAATTCTTTCAATAAACGGACCGTCTATATCATGTTTTTGCATTTTGCTTCTCTCTCTCTGCAATGCCCTGTGGGAATCCTCCAAAATTTTTCACCTCTAGGTTCACCTCAGGTTCAATTTTGAATTTTGACACCTCTGATTTTTCTTTTTATTTATTTATTTATTTTTTTGACGGACTCTTGCTCTGTAGCCCAGGCTGGAGTGTAGTGGTGTGATCTCAGCTCACTGCAACCTCTGCCTCCTGGGTTCAAGTGATTCTCCTGTCTCAACCTCCCAAGTAGCTGGGACCACAGGCGTGCGCCACCACACCCAGCTAATTTTTTGTATTTTTAGTGGAGACAGGATTTCACCATGTTAGCCAGGATGGTCTCGATCTCCTGACCTTGTGATCTGCCTGCCTCGGCCTCCCAAAGTGCTGGGATTACAGGCATAAGCCACCACGCCCAGCCCCAACACCTCTGATTTTTAAATGGGGTTGATAATAGGGTGGTTGTGTTGATTAATTGAGATGTGTCTGCAAAGAGCACAGAAGAATGCCAGGTACAGAGCAGAGCCCCCCTCACCTAAAAAATATACGTACTCCCCACTCCACCTTCTCTTTAGGTGCCAGGGTAGGGAGGAGGGCCAGAAACTATCCTAGACTCAGCCCCTGCCCATAAGGAGCTCCTAATAGCGAGAGGAGAAAACGCGACCCCGCCTCCAGGTGGGATACGATTGGGTCAAATGGGAAGTGCCAGCCACCCAACACCCTTGGCCAAACGCCTGCTGTGCTCCAGGTCCCTGCCAGGCCTGGGCAGGAGAGACAGTGGCCACAAAGCTCTCTGTCCTTGGTCAAGTAGGGAGCCAAGGCCATTTGTGAGGCACTCCACAATCTGGCACTTACATTGTGGGGCACACGAGATATGCAATGGAGGTGGGGGGTATGGCATGAGTACCTGGATAAGGGTGATGAGATCTACCTTGCCGGGGACCCAGGGCAAGAGACTAGAGTAAGACTTTCTGTGTGACTTTGGACCTGTCATTCAGGTTCCACCTCAGTTTCCCACCTGTAAGGGGAGGGGCTTGGCCCTGGTGGTGAGTCTCTAAGATGCAGTGGGTCTTAGAGTGAAGACATGCTTCTCCCAGCACAACTCCCTGCAAGGGGAGTGCCCCACCCCCTCAGGCTCCCATGGCTACCACAAGAGGCCCAGAAACAAGACAGATGTTTCTGGCCAGGAACAGTGGCTCACACCTGTGATCCCAGCACTTTGGGAGGCCGAGACGGGCAGATCATTTGAGGTTAGGAGTTCAAGACCAGCCTGGCCAACAGGGTGAAACCCCGTCTCTACTAAAAAAAAAAAAATGCAAAAACTAGCCAGGCGTGGTGACACATGCCTGTAGTCCCAGCTACTCAGGAGGCTGAGGCAGAAGAATTGCTTGAACCCAGGAGGCAGAGGCTGCACTGAGTTGAGATTGCACCACTGCACTCCAGCTTGGGCAACAGAGTGAGACTCCATCTTAAAAATAAAAAAGATGTTTGCGTCTGACTTTAGTCCTGCTGTCTCTGACAGGTGTGCACCCTTTGTGTTTCAGCTCCTCAGCCCTGGACCAGGGACAAGTAACCCTCGGTGACAAGACCAAAGTACACTGCTGCCCACACAGCTCCTACCTTTCTGGCTTCAATTCTTCAGAAGAGTTTGCCGTCCTTTGGGGAGAACGTGATTTTTGTTATCTCAGCCCTCTGACTTCACTGATCGCAAATCTTTTTTAATACCCTGGGCCAACTTTGGTCGTGCCCCACCCTGTAGCCAGGAGCCCTTTGGCAAGCTTTGGGCACCAGCAAACCACCCCTTGGAACGGGTGTTTCCTCTGGCTGAGAGTTTGAGAGGAGGCGTGGTCTCCGCAGGCAGCCTGTAGCCTCACAGCCAGGCCTGCTGGTGAGGTCACCATGTCCACCAAGGTGCCCATCTATCTGAAGCGTGGCAGTCGCAAGGGCAAGAAGGAGAAGCTTCGGGACCTGCTGTCCTCGGACATGATCAGCCCGCCGCTGGGGGACTTCCGCCACACCATTCATATCGGCAGTGGTGGCGGCAGTGACATGTTTGGTGACATCTCCTTCCTGCAGGGCAAGTTCCACCTCCTGCCGGGGACTGTGGTGGAGGGGCCTGAGGAGGATGGCACCTTCGACCTCCCCTTCCAGTTTACCCGCACCGCAACTGTGTGTGGGCGGGAGCTCCCGGATGGCCCATCACCTCTGCTTAAGAACGCCATCTCCCTCCCGGTTATTGGTGGACCCCAGGCTCTCACCCTGCCCACAGCCCAGGCTCCACCCAAGCCCCCTCGCCTGCACCTGGAGACCCCTCAGCCTTCCCCACAGGAGGGAGGGAGTGTGGACATCTGGAGGATTCCAGAGACTGGCTCCCCCCACAGTGGGTTGACGCCGGAATCAGGGGCTGAGGAGCCCTTCCTGTCCCATGCCAGCTCCCTACTGTCCCTGCATGTGGACCTGGGGCCTTCCATCCTGGACGATGTCCTGCAGATCATGGATCAGGACCTGGATAGCATGCAGATCCCCACATAGGACCCGAGGCTGACTAGGCTGGGGGCCCAGGTGGGGCCGAGCCAGGAGGTGGGGTATGGACACCGCCCTGGCGGCGGAGTCAGGGTCCCAAGATCCCACCTGTGTGGTCGCTGGGCAGTGATTCTCCTTCTGAGCCGTGTTTCCCCTCTCCCTCCCTCTCCACGTGGGCAGGGCAGGCCCCATCGCTTTCCTCTAGTAACCACATGGACACGTCCTGAAGTCAGCCCAGGGCGCCCTGAGCGTCTTGGGGCACCTGGACCCCACCACAATACTCCTTCTTCCCTCAGGTCCCTGGGTGAAGGCTTTGCTGAAACCGACTCCCATTTTCACCTCCCTTCTGCCTCAGCCCCGTTGGATGCCCTGACTGGGGGCAGGGGAAGAGACAGGGCACAGCTGGCCGCAGGGCTCGGCCACTGGGCGAGCTGTTCCGGGCCTTTGGCTTTGCATCCTGGACAGGGAGTGCCCTGTCAGGGACCAGATGCGTCCTGCCTCATCCCCAGCTCCATCCCTTCCCCACGTGACCGGGGATTCTGGTTGCAATAAAACATGCTGCTGCTGGTGGCTGAGCTCCCTGTCCCCTTGCCCCAGGTTTCCTCATGGAGGTAGACAGTCTCCCAGAGCTGAGGGCTCGCCTCTGGAGACCCCAGCCCCACAGGGCTTTGTGGAGGACAGGCCTTGCCCTCAGGAAGGTTGTACCTGACGCTGAGCCTGTTGTGAGAATGCAACAGGAGCAAACCAAGTGTTGCTGTGGATATTCCAACATTGATTCAGATGTTTGGGAAGAGGTGGCTGAGCACTCGGATAGGCTCAGCACTGTGCCAAGCCTGGGGCCAATCCCTGCCCAGTCAGCTGGGGTCTGGTGGGGGACACCCAAGAATAAAAGAATAACCACAAAGTGTGCAAGGGACCAACAGCTTCTCCAGCTTCAGAGCATCGAGGGAGCATGCAGGAGGGATGCTTGGAGCTGGGAGGGTCTCACAGTGCTGCTTCAAGATTCATCCCATCCACAGCTGTTTACTGAGCATCTCCAGTACACAAGGCATGGCTCCGGGTGCTGGGGATACAAGGCAGATGTCATCCCTGCTCTCTGGGAGTTTAAATTCTAGTTGGAAGGGGGATATTAAATTGGTAAACAAATAAGAGATGATTTCCAGCAGTGGTAAAAACTTCGAAGAAAACAACATGATCAGGAATGCCTAGCAGGGAGGGCAGGGGGTGTCAGGACTCATTAATGTGATCGGATGTGATTCTGAGCCAAACCAGAGCTACCAGCTAGAAAACTCATGTGTAAGCACAGGCACTGAGGAACCAGAGTGAAGACAGAGGCCGCCACCACACAGCAAAAGAGTGTGGACCTCCAAGTTGCACTTAGCCTGAGACCCAGTTTCCCCATCTCTAAAATGGAGCAGGCCAGGCATGGTGGCTCACATCTGTAACCCCAGCACTTTGGGAGGCCAAGGTGGGCAGATCGTGAAGTCAGGAGATCGAGACCATCCTGGCCAACATGGTGAAACCCCGTCTCTACTAAAAATACAAAAATTAGCTGGGCGTGGTGGCACGTGCCTGTAATCCCAGCTACTAGGGAGGCTGAGGCAGGAGAATCACTTGAACCTGGGAGGCGGAGGTTGCGGCAAGCCAACATTGCACTACTGCACTCCAGCCTGGCGACAGAGTGAGACTCCATCTCAAAAAAAAAAAAAAAAAATTAAATGGAGCCACTGATAGCTACCTCACAAGGTTACTGAGAAAATTAGGGATAACACTACTAGCCACAGGGAAGTTTTGTTTTTGTTTTTGTTTTGTTTTGGTTTGGTTTGTTTTGAGACAGAGTCTCACTCTGTTGCCCAGGCTAGAGTGCAATGGCGAAATCTTGGCTAACCGCAACCTCTGCCTCCCGGGTTCAAGCTACTCTCCTGCCTCAGCCTCCCAAGTAACTGAGATTACAGGTGCACGCCACCATGCCTGGCTAAATTTTTCATTTGTTTGTTTGTCTGTTTTGTGATGGAGTCTCACTCTGTTGCCTGGGCTGGAGTGCAGTGGCACAATCTTGGCTCACTGCAACCTCTGCCTCCTGGATTCAAGCAATTCTCCTGCCTCAGCCTCCCAAGTAACTGAGATTACAGGTGCACGCCACCATGCCTGGCTAAATTTTTCATTTGTTTGTTTGTCTGTTTTGTGATGGAGTCTCACTCTGTTGCCTGGGCTGGAGTGCAGTGGCACAATCTTGGCTCACTGCAACCTCTGCCTCCTGGATTCAAGCAATTCTCCTGCCTCAGCCTCCCAAGTAACTGGGACTACAGGCACTCACCGGCACGCCTGGCTCATTTTTTGTATTTTTAGTAGAGACAGGGTTTCACCATGTTGGCCAGGCTGGTATCTAACACCTGAACTCAGGTGATCTGTCCACCTTGGCCTCCCAAAGTGCTGGTATTACAGGCACGAGCCACCATGCCCATCCAGGAAAGGTGTTACAAATGGTTGCAATGTGTCATGAAGGAAGAGGCTGGAGCTCGGGAAAGGCGGGACTGTGAAGCTGGAACACAGGCTGGCTCAGCAGGGATAGTTTCGCTGGCCAGGCTGACGCTGAGACGATGGGACACTGCTGAAGGACATGAAAGCAGGAGAGGTAGGTGGTCAGATGGAGACTTGAGGAAGAACACCACCCAGGCCAGGTCGGGGATGGAGGTGGCCATGGCAGGCATGACCAGGAGGAGTCGACCCAGGTGAGGATGCTGGGGACAGAGAGGAGGGGGGTGGCCTAAGGTGGGGCCTAGTGGCCCCTTCTTCCACCCTCAGCCAGTTCTTTTTCACCTGTATGACCCTCAAATCCCAGACACCCACCACTCCCCCAGCCTTTCACAGACATTACTGTGTGTGTGTGTGTGAATGTATTTTTTCTTGTTATTATTTCTGGACATCTTATTTATGTATTTCGAGATGGAGTCTTGCTCTGTTGCCCAGGCTAGAGTACAGTGGCACCATCTCAGCTCACTGCCACCTCCGCCTCCGGGTTCAAGTGATTCTCCTGCCTCAGTCTCCCGAGTAGCTGGGATTACAGGCGCCTGCCACCATGCCCGGGTAATTTTTGTTTGTTTGTTTTGTTTTGAGATGGAGTCTCGCTCTGGTGCCAGGCTGGAGTGCAGAGGCGCCTATCTCAGCTCACTGCAATCTCCGCCTCCCAGGTTCAAGTGATTCCCCTGCCTCAGCCTCCCAAGTATTTGGGACTATAGGCTCGCACATCACGCCCAGCTAATTCTTTGTATTTTAGTAGAGACAGGGTTTCACCATGTTGGCCATGTTGTGATCCTCCTGCCTCGGCCCCCAAAAGTGCTGGGATTACAGGTGTGAGCCACCATGCCTGGCGCCCAGCTCATTTTTGTAGAACAATTTTTGTATTTTTAGTAGAGACAGGATTTTGCCATGTTGGCCAGGCTGGTCTCAAACTCCTGACCTCAGGTGATCTGCCCACCTTGGCGTCCCAAAGTGCTGGGATTATGGGCGTGAGCCACTGTGCCTGGCCTTTATTATTATTATTATTATTATTTTTGATACAGAGTCTCACTCTGTCACCCAGGCTGGAGTGCAGGGGCACGATCTCGGCTCACTGCAACCTCTACCTCCTGGGTTCTCCCCCAGCCTCCCTGGTAGCTGAGACTACAGGCGTGTGCCACCATGCTCAGCTAATTTTTGTATTTTTAGTAGAGATGGGTTTTCACTGTGTTAGCCCTGATCCACCTGCCTCAGCCTCCCAAAGTGCTGGGATTACAGGTGTGAGTCGCCGTGCCCAGCCGTTTATTTTTATTTTTATTTTTTGTAGAGATGAGGTTTTTCTGTGTTGCTCTGGCTGGTCTCAAACTCCTGAGCTCAAGTGATCCTCCTGCCTTGGCCTCCCAAAGTGCTGGAATTACAGGTATGAGCCACTGCACTCAGCCCGCATTTTTTTTTATTGTGGTAAAATATATATAGCATAAAATTTACCATTTTAAGTATACATTTCAGTGGTATTAACTACATTTAGGTTATTTTGCAACAATCACCACCATCCATCTCCAGAATTGTTTTCATGTTTTCAAACTGAAGCTGTGTCTCCATTAAACATTAGCTCCCATTCTCCCCACCCCCTAGTGCCTGCAACCACCATGCTACTTTCTGTCTCGTCCAGCTAACTTTTAAAAAATATTTTTATAGGCCACATGCAGTGGCTCACACCTGTATTTCCAGCACTCTGGGAGGCCAAGGCAGGCGGTCACAAGGTCAGGAGTTCGAGACCAGCCTGGCCAACATGGCGAAAACCCCTCTCTACTAAAAATACAAAAATTAACCAGGCATGGTGGTGCGTGCCTGTAATCCTGGCTACTCAGGAGGCTGAGGCAGAAGAATTGCCTGAATCCGGGAGGCAGAGGTTGCAGTGAGCTGAGATTGCACTGCTGCACTTCAGCCTGGGCAACAGAGCAAGACTTTGTCTTGGGAAAAAGAATACACCAGCATCATCTCTGGGTTTTTCTTCCAAGCTGCTAACACCTATTCTGCATGTTTTGAAACTGGTGCAGGGTTAGCAATGACAAATACCTCACAACTCTCATCTGCTAAATATGATTTTAAGACATAGGAGGCCCGGCGCAGTGGCTCACACCTGTAATCCCAGCACTTTGGGAGGCCGACGCAGGTGGATCACGAGGCCAGGAGTTCGAGACCATCCTGGCTAACACGGTGAAACCCCGTCTCTACTAAAAATACAAAAAATTAGCCGAGTGTGGTGGCAGGTGCCTGTAGTCCCAGACAGCCGGGAGGCGAGGCAGGAGAATGGCGTGGACCCGGGAAGCGGAGCTTGCAGTGAGCCAAGATCGTGCCACTGCACTCCAGCATGGGCGACAGAGAGACTCCACCTCAAAAACAAAGAAAGACATAGCAATGGTAACATGTGTCCTGCTTCTGAAATATTAAAATGAGGGGGGAGAATATGTGCATCTGGGAATTGGTGAAATAAGGTATATTGGAAAAATGATAGCCAGTGTGGTGGCTCACGCTTGAAATCCCAGCACTTTGGGAGGACGAGGCAGGCGGATCACTTGAGGTCAGGAGTTTGAGACCAGCCTGGCCAACGTGGTGAGACCCCATCTCTACTAAAATTACAAAAATTAGCTGGGCATGATGGCGGGAGCCTGTTATCCCAGCTACTCGGGAGGCTGAGGCAGGAGAATCACTTGAACCTGGAAGGTGGAGGTTGCAGTGAGCTGAGATTGCACCACTGCACTGCAGCCTGGGCACCAAGAGCAAACTCTCTCAAAAAAAAAAAGGAAAAGAAAAGAAAAATGACAAGTACCAATGACCAAGCCCTGAGGACTCTGACAGAGGCTGAACAGAGGAAGAGAGTGAAAGGAAATGCCAGTGGGGAAGGAGAGCCAGGAGGGAAAGGCGTCTCAAAGATCTGGAGAAGAGTTTGAAAAGCAGAGAGTGGCCAACGGTGTAATGGGGGTCGACAGGCCCATGAGGACAGATAATAGATCTCTAAATCTGCTGAAAGGGAGGTCGTGGTGACAGGAGCTGTTTCAAGTGAACAGGTGGGAACAAAGGTCCCATTAAACTGGATGGAAGCGGGACCTAGAAACAAGGTAACAGAGATAGGGAGTACTATTTGCTTTTAAAGGGTGAAAAGAGGTGATAGTTGAAGATTGACTTGGGCTATTTTTTGTTTTTTGTTTTTTTTGAGACAGAGTTGGCTTTGTTGCCCAGGCTGGAGTGCAGTGGCGCAATCATGGCTCACTCACCTTCGACCCTCCTGTGCTCAAGCAATCCTGTCACTTCAGCCTCTAGAGTAGCTGGGAACACAGGTGCACGCCACCACATCCGGGTAATTTTTAAATTTTTAGTAGCGAGGAGGCCTCGATATGTTGCCCAGGCTGGTCTCGAACTCTTGAGCTCAAAGCAATCCTCCTGCCTCCACCTCCAACAGTGCTGGGAGCCACCGTGACTGCCCTCCTCCTGCTCTTTTTTTTTTTTTTTTTTTTTTGAGACAGAGTCTCACTCTGTCTTCCAGGCTGGAGTGCAATGGCATGATCTCAGCTCACTGCAACCTCCGCCTCCCAGGTTCAAGCGATTCTCCCCCTTCAGCCTCCCGAGTAGCTGGGATTATAGGTACCTGCCATCATGCCGGGCCAATTTTTGTATTTTTAGTAGAGATGGGGGTTTCACCACGTTGGCCAGGCTGGTCTTCGAGACTCCTGACCTCAGGTGATCCACCCGCCTCGGCCTCCCAAAGTGCTGGGGATTACAGCCTGACCCACCGCCGCCCGGCTCTCCTTCTTTTTTTTTTTTTTTTTTTTTTGAGACCGAGTCTCGCTCTGTCGCCCAGGCCTGGAGTGCAGTGGCACAATATCCGGCTCACTGCAAGTTCCGCCTCCCGGGTTCACGCCATTCTCCTGCCTCAGCCTCCCGAGTAGCTGGGACTACAGGCGCCCGCCACCACGCCCGGATAATTTTTTGTATTTTTAGTAGCGATGGGGTTTCACCGTGTTAGCCAGGATGGTCTCGATCTTCTGATCTCGTGATCCGCCCGCCTCGGCCTCCCGAAGTGCTGGGATTACAGGCGTGAGCCACCGCGCCCGGCCCCGCCTCCTGCTGCTCTAAATAGAAGAGGCGGGCCTCGAACCGAAGCTCCGGGACGCACGCCAGTCTCCGGTTGCGCCTGCGCGTCGGGCTCCCGTGAGGTCCTACCCGGCCCCCGGGAACAGGCCTAAAGTTCTTTCTTCGGTGCTCGCTCTCGTGCGCGCGCCCGGACGGCGCCTGCGCAGAGGGCGAGAAACCTGGTACCCCGGTGCGGTCCCGGCGCCTGCGCGCTGCGGACTTTGGGGCCTCCCGGCCCGAGGGAGAGGAGCAGGGAAGATGGCGGCTGTGGTGGAGAATGTAGTGAAGCTGTGAGTGGTGGTTTCTTTCTCTCCTAGGGCGGCAGGTTTTGTAAAGGGCCTGGGAGTAGGGGGCTGTGGGGAAAGGGACTAGGCGGAGAGAGGGACATCCCCGGGAAGGCCATGTTGCGACTCCTGGTGGGGAGGGCAATAGGAGACTCCGGAGAAGACGTTGCGCTTCTTTGGAAACTTGTGGAGGCCCTGATGGGGGCACACTGGAGCCCCGATGGGCGGCCTCTCTGCTGGGCTATGTGGCCTCAGCGTTCCTCGGGGCTGACGGTTTCCAGAGCATGGCGCCCTGCCTGCACGCGAGACTCACCGTCCCGGTCCTCTCCCGAGACGCCTCAGTCCGGAGGAGCGGGGCCGAGGCCCGGGCGGCCCCACGGCTAACCCGCCGCCCATCCCGCCCCGTCCCGTCCGCTGCAGCAACAGGCTCGGCGGCCCCTGTAGGGTGCACTGCGGGGCTGGCTGTTTCAGTTCCAAGCAGCCCCGTGATGTTTGGGAGGATCTTGGGTGGCAGGTACCTAAGACTACAAATATTCTTGGGAAGCATTTGTCGAGGAGCGGATCCGGAAGGGGAGTGGGCCTTGGCGCCTTCCAGTGGCAACCATCAAAAGCCTGCAACTGGACCGAAGCCGTTCAGGACAGCTTAGTAGCCTAAAGGGCCATATAAGTGGGCATTCTTCCTATGATGCGATACCGTTGTGCTGGTCAGATTTCAAGCAAAGTTAATAGCTGTTGGGGCCATGGACACTGGCCTATGAACTGCTTCCTGTGAGTTACAGATGCTTTGGGACTGACTTGATTTATTCCTACAGGAGAATCAGAATGAGTTTTAGATTGGGTTAATGCCCGGTGGGCGAATAGAGCTTCTTTTAATGGGTATGTTGGGCTTGGTGCAAGGGTGGGAAAATTGAGTGGTGTCTAACTGTCCAGTCAGGGTTTTTGGATTTTGGCTGGGTGATGAGGTAAAGGTTCGGTAAGTATTCTAAAGGACTCACAGCTTCTCATCTATCTTTGTCGTGGCCTGAGCCCCTCTCTTCGTAGGGACCTTTTTAAAGAGTAAGTTGCTTCTCCCTCCTGCCTGAAGCCTTTTCTTTGAGAATGCTTTCCCACTTCCATTAAGCTAAGTGCCTTTCCTCCTCTTGTGGTTGTTTTTTTTTTTTAAGTTGCTTTCTGCTCTATCCTGCTGTCTCTTTCAGCCACCCCTCCTCCCAACACTATTGTCTTTCTGATCTGCCCACTCCAGTTTCCCCAGCTCTCTCTTCAGGCTGACATTTTTCTCAATTTAGAAATGACACTGTTGATCTACCATTTATCCAGTTATCCTTCCTGACTCAAATGTTCTTTCTTTGTTTCCCTGCGTCTTTGTTGACTTCCCTCATCCCATTGTAAGGGGATGTTTTACACAAGTTTCTCCAAAAATAAAAAGAAAGATTCTCATTGTACTGGAGGAGTATCAGACTTGCCTAGGTTTTGAGAGTTAAACGTAGTGAGGCTCTTCGTGTTGGAAGCTTTTCCTCGGGGAAATAGGGTTGCCAGTGCTTTCAAGTTGTGTCATAAGTGAGGGGTTGCCCATTTAAACAGAGCATGACATCTTGTTTCTCTTTGAAAAACTGTAGAGATTGTGAGCATCACCAGCCACTAATTCCTGAATGCCAGTAATGAGAAACCAACTCTCTCCTCCTCATTTCTAGCTGCACAGGGCCTCAGATCACAATTAATACATACTCCCGCAGAATTATCCCTTTAAGAAGGGGCTTCCATTCTTCCAGTTCATTTGGAGATAATTTTCTGGCACTTCTCTTGATTATAGTATACGTAGTCTTCTGACAGCTGATGTTATACATTGAGTATGTTGAGGTCGGACCACTGGCTCATCTTTTCTTTTTTTTTAATTTTTTTAGACAGAGTTTCGCTGTTGTTGGCCCGGGCTTGAATGCAGTGGCACAATCTTGGCTCACTGCAACCTCTGCTTCCTGGGTTCCAGCAGTTCTCCTGCCTCAGCCTCCCGGGTAGCTGAGATTACAGGTGCCCACCACCACACCTGGCTAATTTTTGTATTTTTAGTAGAGATGGAGTTTCATCACGTTGGCCAGGCTGGTCTTGAACTCCTGACCTCAGGTCATCCACCCGCCTCGGCCTCCCAGAGTGCTGGGATTACAGGCATGAGCCACTACGCCCGGCCTTAAGAATTTTCTTATTTGTAAGTTTCTGTCCCTGCCAAATGTGATGTCAGAAATGAAAGTCTTGGCTGGGTGCAGTGGCTCACGTCTATAATCCCAACACTTTGGGAGGCTGAGGCGGGCTGATCGCTTGAGGTCAGGAGTTCGAGACCATCCTGGCCCACATGGTGAAACCCCATCTCTACTAAAACTATAAAAATTAGCCAGGTGGGGTGGCGCACACCTGTAGTCCCAGCTACTCGGGAGGCTGAGGCACAAGAATCGCCTGAACCCAGGAGGCGGAGGTTGCAGTGAGCTGATGTCACACCACTGCCCTCCGGCCTGAGTGACACTTTAAGACTCTGTCTTAAAAAAAAGAAAGAGGCAGCCGGGCGCGGTGGCTCAAGCCTGTAATCCCAGCACTTTGGGAGGCTGAGGCGGGTGGATCACGAGGTCAGGAACGAACATCCTGAACATGGTGAAACCCCGTCCTACAAAAATCAAAAAAGCTAAGCGGGCGAGGTGGCGCGCCTGTATCCAGCTAACTCGAGGCTGAAGGCAGAGAAGGCGTGAACCTGGAGACGGACTTCGCAAGTGACCCGAGGATCCGGCGCACTGCTACTCACCTGGTGACACACGCGCGAGACCCGTCTCAAAAAAAAAAAAAAAAAAAAAAAAAGCCGACTGGCGCGGTGAGCTCTGAATAGCCCAGCACTTTGGGAAGCCGAGCGGGCGGATCACAAGGTCAGGAGATCGAACCAATCCGCCAGCATGGCGATAACCCCCACTCTACTGAAAAAATACAAAAATAGGCTTGTGGCTGGGTGGCATGTGCCTCGTAAGCCCAGCTACTCCGATACCTGAGGGAGAATCGGTTGAACCCAGGAGTGGAGGTGCAGTAAAGCCGAGATTGCGCCACTGCGCTCCAACCTGGGTGACAGAGCAAGACTGCCGTCTCAAAAAAAAAAAAAATTCAAATGACAGCTGGCCGTGCTACCCTGCAATCCCAGAACTTTGGGAGGCCGAGGTGGGCGGACCATGAGGTCAGGAGTTTGAGACCAGCTTGGCCAACATGGTGAAACCCTGTCTCTACTAAGAATACAAAAATTAACTGGGCATGGTGGCGCACGCCACTCGGGAGCCTAAGGCGAGAGAATCGTTGAAACCCAGGAGGCAGAAGCTGCAGTGAGCCGAGATTGCGCCACTGCACTCCAGCCTGGGCGGCAAAGCAAGACTCTTGTCTCGAAAAGATATATATGTATATATATAAAGAGAGAGAGAACAGTGTTAATGTTAACTTGACATTTCTTGGTACTGGAGCCTTAAGTTGTTGTTGTTGTTGTTTTGTTTTGTGAGACAGAGCCTCCCTCTGTCCCCCAGGCTGAAGTGCAGTGGTATAACCTTGGTTTACTGCACCCTCAACTTTCTAGGCTCAAATGATTCCCCTACCTCATCCACCCCAGGGACTACGTGGGACCGCAGGCCTGCACCACCAAACCTAGCTGATGGTTTCTTTATTTTTAACGTTTTGTAGAGATGGGATCTCACTATGTTGCCCAAGCTAGTCTCTAAGTCTTGGTCTCAAGAGATCCACCGGCCTTGGCCTCCCAAAGTGATGGGATTATAAGCATGAGCCACTGTGCCCAGCCTCCCTTAAGTTCTTAAGAGCTCACTCTCATCCTGTCCTGTTCTCTCTTCATCAGATTCTCCCCTCACAAACACTTCCGCGTTTCATTCCCAGCCCTTGTACCCCCAAGACTGTTTGCTTTACCTTTTGAAATCCCACGTAGCTCACAAGAGCCCTGACAGAACATCTCTCATTCATTCCTCCCAATACTGTTTCCAGCCTCCTTGCTCTGACTTTGCAGCCCTCGCCAGCCTGGCCCTGCCTTCCATTTGACTTCCAGTGTCAGTATCAATTCCCATCAGCAGAAACAAAGGAGCTGCGGCACTCAGCCTTGTTTATCCAGTTTTATTCTGTGTGGTGAAGACGTGGCTGCCTCCTAAAGGCAAGCTCGCAGAGGCGAGGCTGCTTTCTCCATTCTGCTCTCCAACGTGAGATTCGTGCCTACCTCAGAGTACAGTCATTACAGCTCATTGAATCATACCAGGCCGTATTTGTGGCGTTGCCATCTCTGTGTGTGCTATATGTCTTTTTTACTTGCTGGGCACATGGTAAGTTATGCAGTGGTCTATTGTGGCTGCTCGCTGAAGGCCCCCATCACATTCCAGATCAGGATTTTTTGGTGTAGCCCGAGTTACGGACAGAAACCACAGAGACTTAATCTGTTTGCCGTTTCATCCCTAGGCTGTTTCTTGTAAAATCCTGATATGTCAAAGCTCATTTGGTCCAACCTCCTCAATCTGTAGAAGAATAGCCAAGGTCCACCTGGGTTGACTAAATGTCCATGTTCATGTGGTGACTTGCAGGCCAGCCAGGTCTTTTTACTCTCAAGTCAGGTCTGACTGTATCTCAGACATCTTCGTGAGTATTGGGGATACTATGAGAAAGAAATCAGTACTGCCTTTGGTTTAAGATTGATTGACACTGGGTACTGTGACACATGCCTCTATTCCCGGATACTTGGGAGGCTAAGGCAGGAGGATCACTTGAGCCAGGAGTTTGTGTCTAGCTTGGGCAACATAGTGAGACCTTGTCTCTAAAAAAAAAAAAAAAAAAAAAGATTGATTGAATATAAATATGAACTGATAGAGTTTGTTTAACCTCCGTTACCAAAGTCCTGGTTAAACCCTGCAAGATGAGAACAAGATAGGTTCTACGTACATGCTTCTTAGAACCTGGCACTGTGCAGTTTTCCAGTTTTCCACTTAAAGGTTTACCCTTGATTCAGATTTCAAATTGAGTCTTTTGAGACCAAGGAGATTTTTTCTTATATAATTTTATTTTGTAAGAATAGAGAAGCACCCTAAGATGGGCCTTAGAGCAAACAAGTTTCTTATCAGTGATGGCGCTCAATAAAAACTTCAAGGAACTTCAGGTACTTGTAGATATCTTCCATAAATGTAAAATTAATTAGTTGATTAAAAACCTAGTTCAAAATTCAAAAGATATAAAAAGGCATATGGAAGGAAGTGGCCTAGTCACCCACTTTTTCTCCCTGCTGACCTGCAGTTTCTTTTCCATTTTGTTACATAAATGATAGCTTTCTTTGACACTTCTCAGCAGTGTACCTTGCTTTGCTTTTTGTCCCTAGTTAACTTGAAATTCTTTAATATCAGTATGTGAAGAGCTTCCTTCTTATGGCTAAATAGAATTTCATTGTATGGATTTACTAGTTTGCTGAATACATTTTAATAAGTCCCCTAGACCTTGAACTCTTTCCCTCTGGAGCAGACCCTGGGGCAAGGATGTGGGAGCATGTAGTTTATTTGGGAGGTGATTCTAGGAAGGAGGAAATAAGGAGGAACTTAGGGGGGACTATTGTTTGCTTCTCAGCGTCATAAGGGTTGAGAAATAACATCTTAACTAGCACAGGGCTGGGCTTGTGAGACACATGGAGTGAACATTAGTTCCTTACCCTCTTTGGGGGTTAGACTTAAGTCTGATTAGACATGATGAAATCATGTGTTCCTGATAGTAATTTATTCGTAAAGTAATTCCTAATGGTGGCCTAGAAAAGGGGCTTGGTGTCCCGTGAGGCAGAAGTGGAGGCAAATAGAATGGAAGAGACAGCCTCCCAGTCCCTTGAGCCTTCTAGAGAAGCAGATGACAGGGGAGAGGAATAGCTCAGTACCCTATGCTCCCCACTCCAACACACACGCCTGGTTTCTATCTTCTCTGCAGCCTTGGGGAGCAGTACTACAAAGATGCCATGGAGCAGTGCCACAATTACAATGCTCGCCTCTGTGCTGAGCGCAGTGTGCGCCTGCCTTTCTTGGACTCACAGACCGGAGTAGCCCAGAGCAATTGTTACATCTGGATGGAAAAGCGACACCGGGGTCCAGGTGAGGGTCCAGACTTGGGAGAAGGGGACTCAGGAGCATAAGGAGGAAGAAGCCTCCTCATCTTAGGTGATGAGACAGTTGATAGGGTTTTCCCTACTGCCTTCCACCTATGGATGAATATGGTCTTCCTGTGGTTAGACACGCAGGGAGGATGAAGCAGATAGGCTGATACCAGCATCTTTGTTTTCTACCCTGCTGAGGCCATTGTGTGTCTGGAGAACTATGTATTAGCCAAGGCCCCTAAGCTTATATATCTATTTTTCTTTTCCACAGACTGTTCCATCTAACCCCCTAGGCCCTCACTGTCAGAATTCCTCCCTTGCTCTAGAACTCAAAAGAGGGGGACTACGTAATTAGAAAGTGTTTGGTATTATTTTCTAATACTGGGTTAGGGCCTGACTTCTATCTTTCTTCCTGCCGTAGGATTGGCCTCTGGACAGCTGTACTCCTACCCTGCCCGGCGCTGGCGGAAGAAGCGGCGAGCCCATCCCCCTGAGGATCCACGACTTTCCTTCCCATCTATTAAGCCAGGTAAGGCACATACTGCCTGCGCAGAGGCGTGGCCTGCTGCATGGTGAGAGCCTGCTAATCACTACGATACACCAGGCCCAGTACTAGATCCCAAATATACTCGAATGAATATGATGTGATTCTTTCCTTTAAAGAGCTTAGTCTAGAAGGGGAGACAGGTAAACAGATAAGTTATGGTGCCAAGTGAACTAGGGTGTCTTAATTCCTGGGCATCCGGAGAACAAAAGACAGTGACAGTGTCTTTTTGTTTTTGGTAAGCCCTAGCATTATGTGGACTCAGAGCAGTCTGCTTTCAGCCATTCTGAGCTTTGCTTCATCCTGATCTTGCTTGCAGACACAGACCAAACCCTGAAGAAGGAGGGGCTGATCTCTCAGGATGGCAGTAGTTTAGAGGCTCTGTTGCGCACTGACCCCCTGGAGAAGCGAGGCGCCCCGGATCCCCGAGTTGATGATGACAGCCTGGGCGAGTTTCCTGTGACCAACAGTCGAGCGCGAAAGGTACAAGATTATCCCTGTGGCTAAGGGAGCTTTGATGGAAATCAGCCTCCTCTTCACTGGGGCCATGCAGTTTCTAGAACTGAAACAGAAGCTGGGGTCCAGGAAGCAGGCCCCTGCAGTTCTGTTCTTACTTCAATCCCTGGTTATTGTCAGGTACTGACTGGCTTCTCTTTTGCTTCTAAGTATAGACTCTCACTCATTCATCCACTTTTATCACAGAACGTTATTATTATACACATATATAATTTTCATTTAAAAAATTAAAAGAGGCCAGGTGCAGTGGCTCATGCCTATAATCCTAGCACTTTGGGAGGCCAAGACAGGAGGATTGCTTGAGCCCAAGAGCTCGAGACCAGCGTGGGCAACAAAGTGAGACCCCATATCTACAAAAAGTAATAATAAAAAAAATTACCTGGGCATAGCGGCATGTGCCTGTTGTCCCAGCTACTAGGGAAGCTGAGGTGGGAGAATCGCTTGAGCCTGGGAGTTGGAGGCTTCAGTAAGCCGGGATCATGCCACTGCACTCCAGCCTGGGCAACAACAAAAAATTAAAACCAGAAGGTACAAGAATAGTACAAAGAAATACCGTATACTCTTTACCTAGATTTATCAGTTTCACATTTTGCCACATTTGCCTTATCTGTCTTTGCTAAACCATTTGAGAGGAAGATGCATATATCAAAAACTTTTCAGTCTAGGCAACATAGCAGGACCTTGTCTCTACTAAATAAAAATAAAAAATTAGCTGGGCATGGTGGCACACGCCTGCAGTCCCAGCTACTCAGGAGGCTGAGGTGGGAGGATTGCTTGAGCCCAGGAGATTGAGGCTGTAGCTCTGCTCATGCCACTGCACTCCAGCCTGAGTAACAGAGGGAGACTCTGTCTGGGGAGGGAGGGAAACAAACTTTTATCCCTAAATACTTTACTCTTTTATCACAAAAGTTTGTGTCACAAAGTTTTTTGGTCCCCGAGGTTGCACAGTGAAACACACTTGGTCTCTGCCAACAGAGAAGATAAGACTATATATAAAAATAAGAGCTATAAATATGCCAGCATTGGGCTAAGTGCTTTCTCATGCCCTTTCTCCTTTAGTCTGTACAACCTTATGGGGGAGGTCCTGTGTTCCCCATTTCACAGACAAGCTGAAACAAAGCAGTTTAAAAACTTACCATGGGCTGGGCACGGTGGCTTACGCCTGTAATCCCTTTGGGAGGCCAAGGCAGGCGGATCATGAGGTCGGGAGATCAAGACCATCCTGGCTAACATGGTGAAACCCCGTCTCTACTAAAGATACAAAAAAATTAGCCAGGCGTGGTGGTGGGCACCTGCAGTCCCAGCTACTCAGGCATGAACCCGGGAGGTAGTGCTTGCAGTGAGCTGAGATCGAACCACTGCACTCCAGCCTGGGCGACAGAATGAGACTCCGTCTCAAAAAAAAAACTTCCCAGGCCGGGCGCGGTGGCTCAAGCCTGTATTCCCATGGCCGGCCACGGTGGCTCACACCTGTAATCCCAGCACTTTGAGAGGCCGAAGTAGGTGGATCACCTGAGGTTGGGAATTCAAAACCAGCCTGACCAACATGGAGAAACCCCGTTTCTACTAAAAATATAGTATTAACCGGGCATGCTGGCGCATGCCTGTAATCCCAGCTACTTGGGAGGCTGAGGCAGGAGGATCACTTGAACACAGGAGACGGAGGGTGCGGTAAGCCAGTATTGCGCCATTGTACTCCAGCCTGGGCAACAAGAGTGAAACTCCGTCTCAAAAAAAAAAACTTCCCACAAAGTCACACAAATAAGCAACAACATTTTCATTTAAACTAGGAGGCGAGTGTCAGGACAGAACCACCAATAATGTGCTCCCAGGGTGGCCAATCAGAGGCAGGAGAGGCAAATGGCTGCTTGTGGCATCGGGACAACCTTTTGGAAGCATGCTATTTAATTTGGCCATGTGGCATGGTAGGGAAAGCATTTCAGGCTAAGGAAATAATGTGGAGCACAGGGGAAAGAAATCCCAAAGTATGGAAGGGAGCAGGAGCAGGATTGTAGGGTGCTTGAAGGGCGTTGGTGAGAAATGAGGCTCATTCACCTGTGGGTGGGACCAGGTCACAGAGGAGGTTCTGGGTGGCCTTGGCCAATCTCATCATAGGGGAGCTTTTGGATGCACATATTTCTACCCATGCTAACCCTGCTGTCCACTCAGCGGATCCTAGAACCAGATGACTTCCTGGATGACCTCGATGATGAAGACTATGAAGAAGATACTCCCAAGCGTCGGGGAAAGGGGAAATCCAAGGTGAGGGGCCAGCGTGCTACCTGCATCTTGGGACAGGGTGGCCTAGGGAATTCCTTGTTTTATTTCAAGTGAGATTAGCAGCCACTTCCCAAAGAGTCTAACTCCTCAGGCCCAGCTACCGCAATAAGGGTGTCTCTTTGCTCTTCTTGGCAGGGTAAGGGTGTGGGCAGTGCCCGTAAGAAGCTGGATGCTTCCATCCTGGAGGACCGGGATAAACCGTATGCCTGTGACAGTGAGTGCCTCACAAGTGGGTGGGTAGACCTTGCTTTGGACCCAGCTCCTGCTCAGGCTATGAGAGGAGGGAGGGTTATGTTTTTGCCCAGAGTATTAAAACAAACCTGGGTTCTTGTCCTGCCTGCTGACTGCTTCCGTCTGAGACCCCTGGGAGGCCTGGGGCCCGGCTATATGACGGGTGGGACCTGCATGCTCTGGGAAAGATTTCTGCCATCTTCTGGGGTGGGGTTGCTTGTGGGGGCCACAGCAGGCAGGGTTGGCCTCTCAACAGACGGCCTGCAGGTCTCCTGGCCTCAGTTAAGCCAGGGCCCCAGGGGTCTGACACTGAGTTTTTCAACATCTGTTCTCTTTTTCTTTCTCTGTGCCTTGCCCCGGTTCTGTCCCTCCACCCTGGGAGCACCATCGCCGCTGGGGTTTCTCTCTCGTTTGCTCCGCTTTCCTGCTGATGCTGCTCCTGTCTCAAGTGTATCAAGGCCTTCTTCTCATGACTTTTCTTTCTGTCTTTCAGATAGTTTCAAACAAAAGCATACCTCGAAAGCGCCCCAGAGAGGTAGCTCTCTCAACTTTTCAGACTTGTGGTTTTCCTGTCCCTTTTTCCCTCTTCCCTTGTTCCTCCTTCCTTTCTCATTTCCTGGGATGCTAGCTTTAAAATCTCTGGAATGGCATGGGGGTAGGAGCAGTGGAACTTCTGCTGTGCTCTACTCCTCAAAGTCCTGGAGGCTGCCTTTACCACTGCTTGTTTCCCACAAACCTACTCCTAGAGCTGCTCAGCCCAGTGCATGGGGTGGCTTCAGAAGCATTATCAGGAGCCCATTACAATCAGACCCTTCCGCTCCCTCCCCAGATCAGGCACCTGGTGGTCAGCTCATGTTCCCCACTGCCCTACCACCTCCTGCCATCCTCTCTCCCCATTCCTTTCCTGCTGGCCCCCTTGCCCTTCTTGGTATTACCTGTCAAGATGACAAAATGCCTCGTGGGGATCTGCTTTCCTTGCTGATTGGCAGGCCTGGACAGGGCAATTATGTGGGAGTGTGTTTGAATTTCTCTGGGGACAACTGCCCAACTGGCTTCAATGATAGGATATCCCCAAGAAACCCACCCCTGCTTGTTTACGCACATTCAGAGGAGATGGGCTCCATGGTCTGTGTGGGGTATCATGAGCCTCCCACGTTTACTGATGGGTAAAAACGTTTGGAGTTTTATCCGCTTTTCCCCCTTCCTGCCACACCAAAGACTTATAGGAATATCCTTCCCTTTCCTGACCTGGAGCGTCCCAAACTGTTACTATATCCCAGAGCAACTAACTAGTGATGGGGCGAGGGCTAAGCCCCCAAAAGTCAACATGGAAGAGCAGTAGTGGCCATGGGGTTGGAGTTTAGGAGGTAAAAGAGTCCCAGAGGCTAGAGAGCCCCAGGGCTTGATGCTCGTGGCTGAGGGAAAGGGGCCGTCACTCAAGGCCTGTCCCAGAGTAGAGCTGCTAGGGGAAGGGATGGTTGCCCTCTGCCTCAGGTGGAGCCCCCACAGTTTGCAGGGGTGGGGACATGTTACTCTTGTATCCTAACACCTTTCTCTGCAATCTTCTCCCCAGTTTGTGGAAAACGTTACAAGAACCGACCAGGCCTCAGTTACCACTATGCCCACTCCCACTTGGCTGAGGAGGAGGGCGAGGACAAGGAAGACTCCCAGCCACCCACTCCTGTTTCCCAGAGGTCTGAGGAGCAGAAATGTAAGCTGAGGTGTCAGAAGTGTTGGGCAAGCAGAAGTTGGCCTGGTTATGAAAACCACTCCTTGCATGGGTGTTGAGTGGCTCAGGGACCCCATGGGCGTCATCAAAAGTCTTTCTCTCTGCAGCCAAAAAGGGTCCTGATGGATTGGCCTTGCCCAACAACTACTGTGACTTCTGCCTGGGGGACTCAAAGATTAACAAGAAGACGGGACAACCCGAGGAGCTGGTGTCCTGTTCTGACTGTGGCCGCTCAGGTACTGCCTCCCGTGAAGGCTGCTGCTGTACCCAGTCCCCAAGGGGCTCTTGGCTTGCTGGCTTCTAGTGCTGTCATAACCAGCCCACCTCACTTTACCTAACCAAGAGAAGATGTGGCCACAAGCAGGAGCTCTTCTCTTCCCCCTGCATTTCCAACTGTCTGTCTCACTCACTTCCCCCACTACAGGGCATCCATCTTGCCTCCAGTTTACCCCCGTGATGATGGCGGCAGTGAAGACGTACCGCTGGCAGTGCATCGAGTGCAAATGTTGCAACATCTGCGGCACCTCTGAGAATGACGTGTGTATCCCCGCCCCCTCCTCAGCATGGCTCCTTCTGGGCTTTTACTGCTGTTTGCACAGTTCCCTCTAAAGTGAGCTTTCTTTTTTTAAAAAGGGAGCAAGATCCCTCCTACATGCCACATGCCCCTCCCTAGCATCTCAGTCAGAACTCTGATTTGTTGCCAGATAATATATATATTGAGTACTGATTTTATGTGAGACACTGTTCTAGGTACTAAAGATACTAAAGACAAACAAGGTCCCTGCCTCATGAGATTTACATTCTTTTTTTTTTTTTTTGAGACGGAGTCTCGCGCTGTGTCACCCAGGCTGGAGTGCAGTGGCGCGATCTCAGCTCACTGCAAGCTCCGCCTCCCGGGTTCACGCCATTCTCCTGCCTCAGCCTCCGAGTAGCTGGGACTACAGGCGCGCGCCACCACGCCCGGCTAGTTTTTTGTATTTTTAGTAGAGACGGGGTTTCACCATGTTAGCCAGGATGGTCTCGATCTCCTGACCTCGTGATCCACCCGCCTCGGCCTCCCAAAGTGCTGGGATTACAGGCTTGAGCCACCGCGCCCGGCCGAGATTTACATTCTTACAGGAACAACAATAAGCAAGGATGTGAGATTTGTATAATGTGCCATGAAAAAAATGAAACCAGTAATGTGGCAGAGAATAATTGCATAAGTGATTTATTTTGATGGTGAGGTATGGCTCTTCTGGGAGGGGGATGCTGGTGTTGAAATTTTGGTGATACCAAGGAGCCAGTCAAGAAGATTTGGAGGTAGAGCAGTCCCAGGAAAGGAGCAGCCAGTTCCAAGGCCTTATAGTGGACAAGCCAAATGATAGGGCATGGGAGAGGATGGCGGGGGATGAGATTAGAGAGGCAAGCACTGCCAGATCTGTGGGGCCTTGGATTTTATTCTAGGTACAATAGGACACTGTCAAAGGGTTTTAATCAGGGAAGTGACATGGTTATTTATGTATGTATTTATTTATTTATTTTATTTATTTATTTTTTTGAGACGGAGTCTTGCTGTGTCGCCCAGGCTGGAGTACAGTGGCACGATCTCGGCTCACTGCAACCTCTGCCTTCTGGGTTCAAGTGATTCTCCTGCCTCAGCCTCCCAAGTAGCTGGGATTACAGACACATGCCACCACATCTGACTAATTTTGTATTTTTAGTAGAGATGGGGTTTCTCCATGTTGGCCAGGCTGGTATCAAACTCCTGACGTCCGGTGATCCACCTGCCTCAGCCTCCCAAAGTGCTGGGATTATAGGTGTGAACCACCGCGCCCGGCTGTTTATTTATTCTTTATGTATTTATTTATTTATTTTGAGACAGAGTCTCTCTGTCACCCAGGCTGGAGTGCAGCGATGCAATCTTAGCTCACTACCACCTCTCCCTTTAGGCTCAAGCAATCCAATCCTTCCACCTCAGCCTCCCAGGTAGCTGGGACCACAGATGCACACCACCATGCCTGGCTTCTTTTTTTTATATTTTTGATAGAGACAGGGTCTTGCCATATTGCTGAGCTGGTCTCAAACTCCTGAGCTCAAGCAGTCCTCCCACCTTGGCCTCTCAAAGTGCTGGGATTACAGGCGGGAACCCACCATGTTTGGTATTGTCTTATATTTTATTTTATATTTATTTATTTATTTCAAGATGGAGTTTTACTGTTGTCACCCAGGCTGGAATGCAGTGACACAATCTCGGCTCACTGCAACCTCTGCCTCCAGGTTCAAGCAATTCTCCTGTCTCAGCCTCTCAAGTAGCTGGGATTACAGGCGCCTGCCACCATGCCTGGCTAATTTTTAGTAGAGACCGGGTTTCACCATGTTGGCCAAGCTTGTCTCGAACTCTTGACCTCAGGTGATCTACCTGCCTCAGCCTCCCAAAATGGTGGTATTACAGGCGTGAGCCACCGCGCTTGGCCCTTGTCTTATATTTTTAAAATAAGACTTTGGCTGCTGTGTGGAGGGTAGACTGTAGGGACAAGGATGGAGGCTTATGCATATAATCCTAACACTTGAGAGGCTGAAGCGGGAGGATCACTTGAGCCCAGGAATTCAGAACCAGCCTGAGCAACATAGGGAGACCCTGTCTCCACAAAATAATTAAAACTTAGTCAGGTGTGGTGGCACACATGTTAACCCCAGCTGCTTGGCAGGCTGAGGTGGGAGGATCACTTGAACCCAGGAGTTTGAGGCTGCAGTGAGCCACGATCACACCACCACACTCCAGCCTGGGCAACAAAGCGAGACCTTGTCTCAAAAAGAAATAGTCACTGGGCACGGCGTCTCACACCTGTAATCCAAGCACTTTGGGAGGCTGAGGTGGGAGGATTGCTTGAGCCTGGGAATTGAGGACCAGCCTGGGCAACATAAGGAGACCTTGTCTCTCCAGAAAAATTCAAAAATTAGCTGGTGTGGTTGTGTGTGCCTATAGTCCCAGCTACTTGAGGCTGAGGTAGGAGGATCACTTGGCCCAGGAGGTCAAGGCTGCAGTGAGCTGTGATTGCACCACTGCACTCCAGCCTGAGTGACAGCAATACCCTGTCTCAAAAAAATATACCTATGGAGCTTGGGCTTTAGGAAAAAAAAAAAAACTGGAGGCGATTTGATCGATTAGGAGCTCTGAAAGGACTCAAGTGAGAGATGACAGTGACTGGATCTGCAGTAGAGAGGGACAGCGTGGTTCCTACATAAGATTCCTGCATCTGTTCTTACCTGCTACCTACCCCTCTTGGAAATAGCCATGTCACAGAAGCCTTCCCACTTCCTGTAGTGGCCTGAGGCACATCAGTCATTCAATCCCCATCCTCTTCCCTCTTGCCTACTTCAGGACCAGCTGCTCTTCTGTGATGACTGCGATCGTGGCTACCACATGTACTGTCTCACCCCGTCCATGTCTGAGCCCCCTGAAGGTAAGTTGCCCAGATCTTTTACTCAGAACAATTATTTTATTAGTTACTTGGAAAATACTGAGTTCTATGTTCTTTATGTTATCACTTACATATTCTTCCAACTTAGGGAGTAAAGCCCCTTGCCTTGGCTCAGTTTAGAATGCCTTCCTAACATTTCAACTTAAAGGGTTTAGTGTTTGCACATTATCAGCTACATTTACAACAGAAAATCCACAGCCCAGAAGAAAGCAGATGCTGAGCCGAGATCAGTCACCCAGAAGGAATGATTTATTTTCTTCCAACCAGTCATGGAAACTCAAGTGGTAGATTATCTGATGTGAAGCTTCTACAGTCAACTCTTGAAATTTGATGGATTTGAGCATTTATTTCCTATCCCTTCCCCTTCTGAATTGGGAAGGGACTTGAGTTTGGAGCCTGAATTCTCCCATAACCTAGAGTAATAATGGTCCAAGTTTATGGAAGCTATTCACTGAAACCAGTGGTGGCACCAAGAATTGGTTGCATCTCCACAAGTCCCCTTCCAGCTGGATTTCTGTGCATAAACTCCTCCTGTACAGAAATTCAGGCGCTTACTCAGAACACAAATGCCCAGGAGCTGTTACTGTGCACAAAGGATGTGGGCCAGCATTACAGGCAAGAGAAAGTGTTTCATTGTGTGATGTAAGCTGATTTGTAACATATTGGTCAAACTGCTGTCACCTCTCTAGAGAATGAGGCCACTGACAAAGTCTGAGAGTCCTTTAACAGCTGCAGGGGAGTACTCAGTTTCTGTCAGGCCCAGTTTATGAATCTGCTTTAGGGAGAAGTCGCGTGTTTGTTTTGTTTTTAACCATCATACAGACTATCTATATTACAAAATGGCTTTCCTATTAAAGTTCCGTGGGACATTGAGGTGGTGGAGAGCTGCAGGCCCGAGCGTCCTCACTGGAGTGTTAAGGCAGCTGAGGGGCAACCCCTGGAAGTATCAGATGTTCTAGGTTCTAAGTCAGGGTCAACAAGCTACAAGCTACAACCTATGGGCCACATCCAGCCACAACCAGCTTAAACAGCTTGCAAGCTATTTCTTTTCTTTTCTTTCTTTTTAATTTTTATTTTTTGAGACAGTGTCTTGCTCTGTTGCCCATGTTGGAGTGGAGTGGCATGATCTCAGCTCACTGAAACCTCCGCTCCCCTGGGCTCAGGTAATCTGGTAATCCTCCCACCTCAGCCTCCTGAGTAGCTGGGACTACAGGCATGCCACCACACCAGGCTAATTTTTGTATTTTTAGTAGAGACAGTGTTTTGCCATGGTGCCCAGGCTGGTCTCGAACTCCCGGGCTCAAGTGATCTGCCCGCCTCAGCCTCCGAAAGTGCTGGGATTACAGGTGTGAACCACTGCACCTAGCCTGAAAAAAAAAATCCCCTTAAAATGTAAAAACTGGGCCGGGCGCGGTGGCTCAAGCCTGTAATCCCAGCACTTTGGGAGGCCGAGACGGGCGGATCACGAGGTCAGGAGATCGAGACCATCCTGGCTAACACGGTGAAACCCTGTCTCTACCAAAAAAATACAAAAAACTAGCCAGGCGAGGTGGCGGGCGCCTGTAGTCCCAGCTACTCGGGAGGCTGAGGCAGGAGAATGGTGTAAACCTGGGAGGCGGATCTTGCAGTAAACTGAGATCCGGCCACTGCACTCCAGCCCGGGCGACAGAGCGAGACTTTGTCTCAAAAAAAAAAAAAAAAAATTTAAAAACTGGCTGGGTGCTGTGGCTCACCTCTGTAATCCCAGCACTTTGGGATCTGTTGAGCCCAGGAGTTCAAGACCAGCCTGGGCAGGATGGCAAAACCCTGTCTTTACTAAAATTACAGAAATTAGCTGGGCGTGGTGCTGTGCACTTGTAATCTCAGCTACTAGAGAGGCTGAGGCAGGAGAATTGCTTGAACCTGGGAGGCAGAGGTTGGAGTAAGCTGAGATCATGCTACTGCACTCCAGCCTGAGCAACAGAGCGGAAACTCTTGTTTTGACAAAAAATAATAAAGGGAGTTTAAAAAAAAAAAAATGTGCATGAGACTATATGTGGCTCACAAACGCTAAAATATGTAACACTCTGGCTCTTTACAGAAAAGTTTGCCAACCTTATTGACCTTTGGGTTAGAAAGGACTTACATTTTTGAGTCACATGTTTCTGAAGAGCTGATAAAAGCTGTGGATCCTTTCCCCTAGAATAATGTCCACATGCACATATGTATAATTTTGCTTATCATTTCAAGGCATTAAGGACTAATTTTATTCAAAAAAATTAGAAGAATTCAGCCATAGTAAATATTAATAAACAAGGAATGAACCAATTGTTTTTCTTAAGGGACAATTATTTTGTGTTTTTTCGTGAAACTACACAAGTCTCAAAACTGAGGTAGCGGCCGGGCGCCGTGGCTCAAGCCTGTAATCCCAGCGCTTTGGGAGGCCGAGACAGGCGGATCACGAGGTCAGGAGATCGAGACCATCCTGGCTAACACAGTGAAACCCTGTCTTTACCAAAAAAATACAAAAAACTAGCCAGGAGAAGTGGCGGGCGCCTGTAGTCCCAGCTACTCGGGAGGCTGAGGCAGGAGAATGGCGTGAACCCGGGAGGCAGAGCTTGCAGTGAGCTGAGATCTGGCCACTGCACTCCAGCCTGGGCGACAGAGCAGGACTCCGTCTCAAAAAAAAACTGAGGTAGCTTGACAAACTTCTGTCTTCCCAGGCCCTCTTCATACTCCCAGAGCTTCTGATTTAATAGGGCCAAGAGGGCCTGGGCACTGGTATTCTGAAGTCCTCTAGATGATGATTTCTTTCATCTCCATTGAGGAGGATATTTCACAATATTTGAAGACTTAGAGGTTTATCCCAGCTCAGGAAACCATGGAACTTTCCTGCCGCAGAGCATCCCTCATCCTACCTGTAGCTGATCCTGCTATAGAGATGGGGTATCAAGAGCAGAGGAATTGCAAGCAGATAGGGATTGTGTGGGACCCATCCTGACCCCATTTTGCTTCTCTGCAGGAAGTTGGAGCTGCCATCTATGTCTGGACCTGTTGAAGGAGAAAGCTTCCATCTACCAGAACCAGAACTCCTCTTGATGTGGCCACCCCCCTGCTCCCCGACATATCTAAGGCTATTTCTCCCCTCCACTTCATATTTCATACCCATCTTTCCCTTATTCCTCCTCTCCTTCACAAGTCCAGAGAACCTTGGGGTGGTTGTGCCAGCCTGCCTTTGGCAGCTGCAAGCTGAGGTGGCAGCTCTGACCACCTCTGGCCCCAGGCCCTCAGGGAGAAAGGAGCAACACACTGCCCCTAAGCGTACGTGTGGCCCGGTTTCTCTCTGCTCTCCATTAAGTGCATTCACTCTGCTTGCCTTGGGCCCAGGCCCTGGTGATCACAGGGTTCAAACAGTGTCCTCCTAGAAAGAGTGGGAGAGCAGCTCACTTCTCTCTGTTCTTCCTCCACTCTGGTCTCCAGAGTTTTCCCATCCCCCAGAGGCAAACCAGGCCAGGGAGCTGGGAGCGAGCAAGCTGAGGCCACGTCCACAAGGAGCTTTCCATGCCCCTGTGCCGTATAGCCTCACCTCTTTCCTCCAGAGTGGCTCTCTGCGGCCCTCTGTTCCTGCTACAGAGGGTTCTTTGCTGGAGTCAGGATGTTCTCAGTCACCCTCCTGGCTCTGCCCTGTCCCACTCCACCCTACCCCAGGGGGAACAGCAGCTTCACCTTGTTACTCCCAGTGCTCTCTTGGCTCACTCTTATGGGCGGTCTCCAGTGACTGAAGCATTCCCTACCCTTGGAATTTCTCATCTTCTGCCTCCCTTCTTATTCCTTTTGGCTTTGTGGGGAGAGGGGAAGGATCAGGGGGCCAGGCCAGCAGCTCGGGGGCTACAGGGAGATGGATAATGTGCCTGTTTTTTAACACGACAAAAAAGCCTACCTCCAAAATCCCCTTTTTGTTCTTCCTGGACCTGGGCATTCAGCCTCCTGCTCTTAACTGAATTGGGAGCCTCTGCCACCTGCCCCGTGTTATGCTGGCTCTCAGCTCATGGGGAAGCCACATAGACATCCCTTTCTTCCCTTGCACGCTCGCTAGCAGCTGGTAAGGTCTTCACACCCTGATTCCTCAAGTTTTCTGCTTAGTGGCACTGACATTAAGTAGTGGGGGGACAGTCCATGCCAGGACACCCTGGAGTAGCCTTCCCCGTTGGCCGCGGGCAGGCCCTAACTCACTGTCGCTTTGGAGTTGAGGTGTCTTTTTTTTCTTTCTTTAGTTCCTGTATTCTAAACATTAGTAAAAATAAATGTTTTTACACAGAGCCCTCTGCTGGATGGTTTATCTCCTGCCTCTCTCCATTAAGAAGGCCATTTCATGTTAAGATTTCCATGATGGTGTTTTTTTTTTTAAAAAAAAGTTTTGAAATACAGCTTTTTTCCCCCAAATTAAAATTTTTTTGTGGAACCCCAATATGTAAAGCAAATATAAAATTGGTTATTTTGTTAGTCTTAATTTATTACATAAATTCAAGTTTATAACAATTATTTGTTATAAAGAACAATGAAGCTGTTTTGATCAATACAAAATTTGGGTTAAAATCAACTTTTAACATCCATTTTTGTGTTTCAGTTGGTTTGGAGAAAATTCTGTTAGTCTTGGATACATAGATGGAAGTGGTGACAGGTTTATAACAGTTGACCTTGCAATCTCAGACATTTAAAACAGGACCAGAAGTTTGTATAATCAATAAGCAAACTAATGACATCACCATGGGACACACAGAAGTTCTTGCAGGAGCAGGGTCTGTGTGGCTTCAGTTGCCTGCAGTGCTCCCAGGCCAGAGCAAGTGCCCGAGGGTCTGAACTGCCCGCAGTGCAGCCCTGCAGCCTTTCCCAGGGCACGTTGATGTGCACAAAGTAAGTTTCCCTGAAGACAAAGTGAACATGTTGACAGCTTACGTGGCAGCATATATGTCCTGAGTGTGTGTTTTAGAAGTCCAACTGTTGTTTTTATGTTTTTAAAGGAAATATTTGAATCAAGCAGTTATGGGCCCCCTGAAGTATCCTTTTTTCTAGAACATTCTGAAAGTCATCCTTGCCTATGGAAAGCCTAGGCCTACCTGCACTGTTATGTTCAGTAAATAAGCAGGGTGCTCTGGGCTGGGGATTGTGTGAGGAGCAGAGCGCAGCCCGTCCTCATGCTTTTCCACTGAAGTAGGCCAGGCGGAGAGGGAGTAAAGCAATGAATGCTCTTTGGCGGCTGAGTAGTCCAAGAGCCAGAAAAGAAATGTTCAAATTAAGAAGGCTATAGCAGGCCAAAATGAGGAAATTCAGGGTTTGCGGGAGGTGGGATTTGAGATGGGTCTTGGAGAGTTGGACAGTGTCAGCCGGTAGGATGGGGTTGCAGACGGAAGCCTGTGAGGAAGGCAGAGGATGCGGAGCTGTGAGCGCAGGGAGTAGCGAGGCTGGAGAGCAGCTGGGCTGCGGATCAAGACGTCTGCGTTTAATTAGGGACTGAAGGTTAGCAGGGAAGGGAACGATACCAGATCTTGAATTTAAGAACTTGAATCTTGTAAAGTACCAAATCTAATAAAAATTAGTCCTTAGTTGTCCTAAATCAGAACTGGCCCAGGCATACAGTGTTTCCGTGGCCGACAGACGAGCCAGCGCTGTCCATGGTAACCAGCTTTTGTGTGGCTTAAAGCTTGCATCCATTTTCTCCTTTCATCGTTTTCCCAAAACAACTCCGTGAGGGCCGTTAGCTCTGCTTGGTAGACGAAGAAGCCGAGGCGGCCTAGGGTCACGGCCAGGGAGCCTCTGGGACGCCAAGTCAGCTCGGTGGTCCTCATGCCGCCTACAACTCGTCGGGCCCTCGAGGTCCGCGGCTACTGGAGGCGCCCGGGGATGTCCTGCAGGTTCCTGGCTCCGCCTCCCGCCCCTCCTCGCTAGAAGCTCCGCCCCCAGGGGGCTCGACGAACCGCCACTTCCGCGGCGTCCATTGAAACTTGGCCGGGGGAGGGACGGGGCGCCACTGAGGGCCAATCTGCTTGGGCCGGGGCGGGACTGCAGCGGGTGGGTGCAGAAGGGCCGCACCGCGGACTTCGGAGCCGGGAGAGAGCCCGGCGCGGGCGGCGCGCACGGGGCCCTGCTGTGCGCGCGCCCGCCCGCCGCCCGCCGCCCGCGCAGCCCCTCGGCCCGCTGTGCCCTCGGGGTCGTGGCGCCCATCCCTCCCCTGTTCTGTTCTGCTGTCGCCGCCCGGACAGGGGCTCGGGAGCCGGGCTAGGGGCAGGGGCTGGAGCCGCGGGACCAGTGCCTGAGGTGGGTGCGGAGCGGGAGGCCGGGCGGGCGGGCGCCTGGGGCCACCCCGCCGACAGACTCCGGGTCGAGGGGGAGTGACCGGCCAGGGCGCGGAGCCCGGCTGCCGGCCTGCCTGGGTTCAGGCGATAGTCCCGGCGCCCTGGGACCCTCCCAGGCGACCACCCTCCCAGCGGGGACACCCCGCCCCTCCGCTGCCTGCAGCCTCCTCAGGCCTCCCGCCCTTTGTCGCTCGTGCACCTGCGCCCTCGGCCCTGCCCTCTCGCTCCCCTCAGGGCGGACCCTTGCCCAGCCTCCCTTTCAGGACCCGGCACCAAATTAGCCTCGCTCCTTCAGACCCCCTCTGTCCCCTTTGTCGTCTGTACACCTGTCACCTCAACTCTGTGTGCATCCACCCACCTCCCCGCCCCCAGCGGCGTCATCTGAATACAGCCCAGGCCGCCTCCCACTCCCTCCCGGGGGCTCCTCCCCTGCTGCCCCGTAGCCCACACCTGCCCCCTCGGCCCCAGCCCCAGGCCCTCCCCCGTCCGTGCGCCTTTGTTATCTCTGCAGCTGTCCCCTCCACTCTTCATCCTTCTCCCCCAGTGAGGCCAGACCCCAGCCCAGACTCCCCTGTCCTTCTGACCGGAGAGACCCCCCTCCCCAGCTCTGCCCTGGCATCCTGGGGACGGGGCCAGCTGGCTTCCACTCGGCCTAGCCACTTTCCTGCCTCTTCCGGCGGGTCCAGTCTCCCCTGGTGCCTGCGCACGTCCTCATCTAATCTCTTTTCCCTCCTGCGCTCCTCTCGTAGCCCTCCCGGCCTCAGCTTACTCTACCCGCTCATTCTTTCCTCCCCGCACAGGTGCCCCGGAGAGGCCATGGAGCTGAGCAGCAAGAAGAAGCTTCACGCCCTGTCCCTGGCCGAGAAGATCCAGGTGCTGGAACTCCTGGATGAGTCCAAGATGTCCCAGTCGGAGGTGGCCCGGCGCTTCCAGGTTTCCCAGCCCCAGATCTCGCGCATCTGCAAGAATAAGGAGAAGCTGCTGGCGGACTGGTGCAGCGGCACAGCCAACCGAGAGCGCAAGCGCAAGCGGGAGTCCAAGTACAGCGGGATCGACGAGGCTCTGCTCTGCTGGTACCACATTGCCCGGGCCAAGGCCTGGGACGTGACGGGGCCCATGCTGCTCCACAAAGCCAAGGAGCTGGCCGATATCATGGGCCAGGACTTCGTGCCCAGCATCGGCTGGCTGGTCCGCTGGAAACGCCGAAACAACGTCGGCTTTGGGGCCCGCCATGTTCTTGCTCCTTCATTCCCCCCTGAGCCACCTCCCCCAGGCCTCACATCCCAGGCTCAGCTGCCTCTTTCCCTAAAAGACTTCTCTCCAGAGGACGTGTTTGGCTGTGCTGAATTGCCCTTACTGTATCGGGCAGTGCCCGGCAACTTGGGTGCATGTGATCAAGTACAGGTGCTGCTGTGTGCCAACAGCAGGGGCACCGAGAAGCGGCGGGTATTGCTGGGGGGGCTCCAGGCTGCCCCGAGATGCTTCTTTGGGGTCCGCAGTGAGGCTCTGCCTGCCTCCTACCACCCTGACCTGGGCGTCCCCTGGTTAGAGTGGTTGGCACAGTTTGACCGGGACATGGGACAGCAGGGCCGACAGGTGGCTTTGCTGCTGGCTGCCCGAGTGGTGGAGGGACTGGCAGGCCTGCCTGGGCTCTACCACGTGAAGCTCTTGCCTCTGGCCGCCTCTAGCACCACGCCTCCCCTGCCCAGCTCAGTGGTCCGGGCCTTTAAGGCCCATTACCGACACCGGCTGTTGAGCAAACTGGCTGCCATCCAAAGCGACAGGGATGGCACCTCGCTGGCTGAGGCCGCGGCGGGCATCACCGTGCTGGACGCCTTGCACGTGGCGTCTGCCGCCTGGGCCAAGGTGCCGCCTCAGCTCATTTTCAGCAGCTTCGTTCAGGAAGGGCTGGCTCCCGGCAAAACGCCCCCGTCCTCACACAAAGCCTCTGAGATGCCACCAGTTCCCTGCGGGCTGAGCCTAGAGGAGTTTTCCGGCTTTGTGGACCTGGAGGGTGAGGAGCCAGGGCCTGGAGTGTGTAAAGAGGAGACAGGCACCGAAGACGAGGAGAGGGACAGAGAGGGTGCCTTTGAGCCCCCGCCCACGAAAGCTGATGCCCTCCGGGCCCTGGGCACCTTGAGGAGGTGGTTTGAGTGCAACAGCACTTCTCCTGAGCTGTTTGAAAAATTCTACGACTGTGAGGAGGAGGTGGAGCGGCTTTGCTGCCTATGAAGGCACCTTTGCTGCTTGCCAGAGCCCCCTCCTCTCCTGTTTCCCATGGAAACGGCCTCTTCAGAAGGCAGATCCGGGCTGTCTCTTTCCTGTGGAAATAGAACTGTCATAAAGGTGTAGAAGGGAGAGAAGTTGGGACACCAAGTCTGAGCTTGGAGTGACAGTCGTCCAAGCCCCAGGAAGAGAGCTCTAAAGATGGGGCTTCAAGGGTAGGAATCCAGGCTACTTAGTTTCCTTGCTTGAAAGTTATAGAGCCTTAGAAAGGGAGTTAGTCTAGAGGCGGGCGCTTAGAAAGCTGGAGTGTGGGCTTTTTGGACAGACTTCTTCCTTGAACTCTGTTAAAAACAGTTCTGCTTCTGGAAATAAAGTTTTTAATCAGATAAGAGGCCAGGGTGTTATTTTCGTGGGAGAAGGGTAAAAATTTTCCATTCAGATTTAGAAAATTAATTGCTGATGGTCGCTGCGGTGCTGCTGTCTGTCCATGAGCAGTAGGGATCCTCCTCTTCCGGATATTCAACAGCAAGGACTCTCAGGGCACGGGCACTGCTTGTGGGCTACCCTCCTGAGAAGGAAGCTCCAGGACAGACAGATCCCAGCTACTGCCCCAGAGAAGCTGCAGCTCCAACAGTTCCAATAGCTCTCAGATTGTGTGGGGTTGGGCAGGCTACGGACATGTCAGGGAAACAGAAAGGAGCTGGAATTGGAATGGAATAGTCATTCATTCTTTTTTTTTTTTTCATTTGCTCAATTCACAATATCACTTCAGCAAGGCGTCCTATGTGAACAAGTTGCAAAGATAGTGGCTCTGCTGGGCAGAACCTTGCAGCCCATGACAGTGGAGTGTGATTAAGGCTGTAATAACGGCTGTTCAGAGTGCCTGGCCCCACAGAGCTAGGGAGACTCCAGGGGGAGGCGAGCTTTGAGCTGCAATTTGAAGGGTGTCCCAGACCAAGGGACAGCATGCGCAGAGTCTGACTGGAGTGAAGGAGCACAGTGTGCTGGGGCGGGGGCAGGCAGTTCTGCCAGGGCATGGCATACTTGCGGAGGTAGGGGTGGAGTGCAAGGAGAGATCTGGAGGGTAGGAAGGGCCTTTAGCCAACCAAGCTTAGGGGTAGGACTGAAGGGGTGGCCTGCTCCTCTACACCTGTGGGCGTTTCTCATTAGGTGGAACAAGAGACTTGAGAAAAGAAATGAGACACAAAGTATAGAGAAAGAAAAAGTGGGCCCCGGGGACGCTCAGCATACAGAGGACCCACGCCGGCACCGGTCTCTGAGTTCCCTCAGTATTTACTGATCATTATCTTTACCATCTTAGAAGTGGCAGGATAATAGGACCTTCATAGGGAGAAGGTCAGCAGTAAGACATATGAATAAAGATCTCTGTGACATGAATAAGTTTAAGGAAAAGTGCTGTGCCTTGATATGCATATGCAAACATCTCCATAAACCTTTTTAGTGCATAAAGAGCAGCATTGCCACTAGCACGTCCCACCTTCAGCCCTAAGGCGGTTTTCTCCTTTCTCAGTAAACAGAACATACAATCGGGTTTTACACCGAGATGTTCCATTGCCCAGGGACGGGCAGGAGACAGATGCTTTTCTCTATCTCAACTGCCAAGAGGCCTTCTTTCCTCTTGTACTGGTCCTCCTCAGCACAGACCCTTCACAGGTATCAGGCTGGGGGACGATTAGGTCTTCCCCTTCCCACGAGGCCATATTTCAGACCATCACATGGGGAGAAACCTTGGACAATACCTAGCTTTCCTAGGCAGAGGTCCCTGTGACCTTCCGCAGTGTGTGTGCCCCTGGTTACTTGAGATTAAGAGAATGGTGATGACTTTTAACCAGCAAGCTGCCTTCAGGCACTTGTTTAACAAAGCACACCCTGCACAGCCCAAAATCCTTTAAACCTTGAGTCACCACAGCACATGTCTCTCGCAAGGACAGGGTTGGGGGTAGGGTCACAGATTAACAGCATCTCAAATACAGAACAAAATGGAGTCTCTTTTGTCTACTTCTTTCTGTATAGACACAGTAACAGTCCGATCTCTCTTTCTTTTCCCCACAGTGACAATGTAGATAAGCCGGGAGGGCATTATACAAAGTGAAATAAGCCAGGTACAGAAAGACAAATACTGGGCCAGGCTTCCTGCGTGGCTCATGCCTGTAATCCCAGCACTCTGGGAGGCAGAGGCAGGTGGATCACCTGAGGTCAGGAGTTTGAGACCAGTCTGGCTAACATGGTGAAACCCCATTTCTACTAGACATATAAAAATTATATAAAACAAATATTGATTTGTTTAAAGGGCCTTAAGAGGAGTGATCCTGTCTATCTTGTTCTGTAACCTACATTGCAGCAGTTTTCTATTTCTCCCTCTAGTTTGAAGGCAACTTAGGAACAGGACTGTGTCTTCCTTATCTTTGTTGCCCGGGAGCCTTAGGTACCATCCGAACATAGAAGGTGTTCATTAGAGGCTTGGAAATACACTGAAATAACACATAACATCTTTGTCCTTCCCTCCCCTGCCTTGGTGTACATGTGGCAACACTTGCAGAATTGGATAGCATTGCCTGGCCTTGATAAAAGCTGAGGTCTGTTGGGAATAGTAGATGCTGCCTTTGCTGCCTCTCTTTCCTTTCTGTCCTACCTCTTAGGATGTCCAAGCAACTGTGGGAGCTTCCTAACTTACTTGGTCTTGAATTTCCATATTTGCTCCCCATCTCCCCATCTGTTCTTCACACAGCAACTAGAATGAGATGATGATGATGATGATGATGATGATGATTTGAGACGGAATTTCACTCTTGTTGCCCAGGCTGGAGTACAGTGGCCTGATCTCAGCTCACTGCAAGCTCCACCTCCTGGGTTCATGCCGTTCTCCTGCCTCAGCCTCCCAAGTAGCTGGGACTACAGGCGCCTGCCACCACGCCCGGCTAATTTTTTTGTATTTTTAGTAGAGACGGGGTTTCACCATGTTAGCCAGGATGGTCTCGATTTCCTGACCTCGTGATCCACCCGCCTCGGCCTCCCAAAGTGCTGGGATTACAGGCTTGAGCCACCGCGCCCGGCCGAGATTTTTTAAAAACATAAAACATTCTTGCTCTGCTGCCTAGGCTGGAGTGCAGTGGCGCGATCTCGGCTCACTGCAAGCTCCGCCTCCCGGGTTCACGCCATTCTCCTGCCTCAGCCTCCGAGTAGCTGGGACTACAGGCGCCCGCCACCACACCTGGCTAGTTTTTTGTATTTTTAGTAGAGACGGGGTTTCACCGTGTTAGCCAGGATGGTCTCGATCTCCTGACCTCGTGATCCACCCGCCTCGGCCTCCCAAAGTGCTGGGATTACAGGCTTGAGCCACCGCGCCCGGCCGAGATTTTTTAAAAACATAAAACATAGGCTAGGCACGGTGGCTCACACCTGTAATCCCAGCACTTTGCGAGGCTGAGGCAGTGGATCACCTGAGGTCAGGAGTTTGAGACCAGCCTGGCCAACATGATGAAACCCTGTCTCTACTAAAAATACAAAAAAATTAGCCGGGCTTGGTGGCGTGTGCCTGTAGTCCCAGCTATTCGGGAGGCCGAGTCTGGAGAATCGGCAGAGGTTGCAGTGAGCTGAGATTGTGCCACTGCACTCCAGCCTGGGTGGCAGAGTGAAACTGTCTCAAAAACAAAACAAAACAAAACAAAAACATAGGCTGGGCGCCATGGCTCACACCTGTAATCCCAGCACTTTGGAAGGCCAAGGGATTGCTTGAGCCCAGGACTTTGAGACTGGCCTGGCCAAGATAGAGAGAGAGTCTCTCTATAAACAATTTTTTTTTTTTTAATTAGCTAGGTGTGGTGTACACACTTGTATATTTGTAGTTCCAGCCACTCAGGAGACTAAGGCATGAGGGTTGCTTAAGCCCAGGAATTTGAGGTGGCAATGGGTTGTGATTATGCCACTGTACTCCAGTCTTGGCACCCAAGTGAGACCCTGTCTCTAAAAAAAAAACCAAGAAACCAGAAACACACACATAAAACATATCTTGCGGGGCCAGGCGCGATCGCTCATGTCTGTAATCCCAGCACTTTTGGAGTCTGAGGCGGATGAATCATGAGATCAGGAGTTTGAGACCAGCCTGACCAACATGGTGAAACTCCATCTCTACTAAAAATTTAAAAAAAAAAAAAAAAATTAGCTGGGCGTAGTGACGGGCACCTTTAGTCCCAGCTACTCGGGAGGCTGAGGCAAGAGAATCACTTGAACCCAGGCGGCGGAGGTTGCAGTGAGCCGAGATCACGCCACTACACTCCAGCCCTGGCGACAGAGTGAGACTTTGCCTCAAATAAACAAAAACATATCTTGTTCCTCCTTTATCTAAACCACACAGCTCCAACCCACCCCACAGAAAAAAAGAAAAGAAAAGAAAAGAAAAGGCAAACCAACTTCCTATTTTGCTTAGAATGCAATCTAAACACTCCCTGGTGAAAGGCGCCTGTCCACCTCTCTGACCTCCTCCCCTCCTTGGCCTCTCTCACTTGCTGCCATAGGCACTGCTTTCTGTTTCTTAACCCTGTGAAGCTGTTTCTAACCATCTGGATTGGTACCCACAGTTCCCTTTGCAGAGAAATCATTCACAACGCAGCTCACAGGTCATTTTCCTGACTACGCACCCTGTCACTCTCTCTGACATCATTATTTTATTTTCATCTTGATACCTTTCGCTGTCTAAAATGACTGTGCTCACGGATTTAATGTCTATTCTTGCTCTCCCTCTTCTAAAAAGGGCCTTGGCCGGGCGTGGTGGCTCACGCCTGTAATCCCAGCACTTTGGAAGGCAGAGTCAGGTGGATCACCTGAGGTTGGGAGTTCGAGACCAGCCTGATCAACACCGGAGAAACCCCGTCTCTACTAAAAATACAAAATTAGCCAGATGTGGTGGCACATGCCTGCAATCCCAGCTACTCGGGAGGCTGAGGCAGGAGAATGACTTGAACCTGGGAGGCAGAGGTTGTGGTGAGCCAAGATGGCGCC